AGGTGGGGGGGGGGGGGGGCGTAACAGGGGCACATAATGGCCACACGGGTGCCCAACTCCATGGCAATGGCCACAAGGAGGGGGCAACTCCATGGCAATGGCCACAAGGAGGGGGCAACTCCATGGCAATGGCCTTAATGGGTGGGTCACAGGTCAAGACGTGTGACCCCCAACCCTTATGGCCAGTACCATGGTGTTGGGCACCGCCATGGCCATGGAGCAGAGAGGTCTGGAAGAAGTGCAGCAGGTCAGCATTTTTATGCACCAGGATGGAACTAACCTGAAGTCTCTGCCTCTCGGGTTTCTACAAACTGTAGAGACCCCCACCCCCGACTGCTGGCAGACACCAACCCATACACTAGAACAGATGGATTTAGCATGTGGGCTGGTGTGACCAAACCCTGAACGGCCACGGTTGGTTTTGGAACTGGAAATCCAACATGCTCATACGGGTGGGATGGTCAGGTGCCCAGAAACCTTGGACCATAGGCCGTCGGCACCGTAGTGGGATCTAAACAGGAAGCACAAGACTGGACTCCCAAAAGGAGGAGCAGCAGGAAGTTTAGACGCAGAGCGAAGCCAAAATGTCCGGCCGGAGCTTTGCCTGCAGTGTGCGAGCCGAGTGCAGGCCGAGTGCAGGCTGATGATTGACCGCACCTTCAGCCAATCAGCTGAACAACAACTGGCCAGAAGTCGCATCGTGACCCGCGGGTATATACGCGCGAGCCGATTGGCTGAAGATGACGTGCTGGGGAGAAAATCACCATGACACATTGCTCGTGAAGGCAGCACACTGCCTGCAGGGAGTCACAGGGACAGGAAGTGAGAGGGGGGGGAGAATTAATACAGGTGACCCCGAGACAACTGACCTCCACAGGTCTGAAGAAGCTGTTGCTGAAGCACAATCAGTTATGTCCAGTGACCCAGCAGGGACACACACACAGACCCAGCAGGGACACAGGGACACACACACATAATTTCCTGACGCCAATCCATGGCAGCATACAATGGGGGGGCAGAGCCATACCCATTGTATGCTTCCATGGATTGGCGTCAGGAAAGGAAAATTACCGATAGGTCAGTATACAATTTTCCGTAATATATCACAATAGTCCTGAAAAGCTCGCTGTACGGGTCTGTGAATCATATTATCTGCAATTCCTCCACATAAGGCATCTTAGGCTTAAAGGGGGCTTCCACCTTCAGATGACTTCCATTTTAATGGTTTGTACACATTTTATTACATACACCGCTTTATATTCATAGCTATAATAAAAAAAGATTCGGTTCGGAGGCGTTTATCTCCTTTGCACCGGGACTTGACTCAGTTCCATGTCCACAAAACTCCTCTGCTCGGAAAAAAACAGGACATTTAGATGGATCATGGCTAAAATGATCAGCCACAGGCCCGGGACGTCCGTCTAAGTCAGAACCCGGGCAGAAGGGAGGCACAGCAAAACAGTACAAGCATGTAAAATACTGAATAAAATATACACTTCAACTTTATTGAATGTGGTTTGATCTGATATCTAAAAGTAAAATTCTCATCCTGAATCTTAGATACAGATGGGCCCCACATCCCAGCATAGTGCCTGGGAGCAAACCCCTCCCCACCTCTGCCAGTTACTGCATGCATGCATCATGCCACCAAGGCCGGTGTCACCTGACCCTAACCTGTGATACCGCCACATCTGCAGAGCTGCTCTCTCTCATCATCCACATTCCTTTGGTCACCAGGGACAGCCCAGGCATCCTATTCCCAACCGTCTCAGACCCAAAGCACAATACTGAAACCGCCAGGGGAGGGGGGCCCCCTTGCGCACTATCCTCCCCAAGTCATGCCAGACATCAGCTCATGCAATTCTGCCCCTTGCAACACGAGGGCGACACTCGCCAAGCGCGCGCACACGCACAATCCTGGAGCTCGTACGGTGTGGGCAAGCCCTGTATAGACACAGGAGCCAAAAACCCGTCACCGTCTGTCATTACTGATCTAGACAAGGAGAAACAAAAATTTAAAAAAAACGGACAGATGGTTATTGTTCTCTGTTCACAATACTATAAATTAGCTTTTTTCCCCCCATTAAAGTAATAATGTGGCTTGTTTTAAACAGTTAAAAATCAGCTCATGCACACTACATCCAAAGAGAAGAAAGAAAAACCCTTATGGAAGGACGTCCTCGGCCGAGCGAGGAGGCCAGACGTG